CATGCGCCTTCGCTTGCGGACGCGACCGAAAAAAAGGATCCGCGCTGGGCGCCCCCCCTCGCTGGCGCGCGGAGGCGCCGCCGGGGGGGCCCAGCATCGAACCGAGAAGTCGGATCGGCGATCGACATGAATCGTATCGGCGGAAATCGGCAGCAGAGTCGGGAAAGACCGGATCGGCGGAAATCGGCAGGCTCGTATGCGTCCAGTGAGAGATCGGAACCCAAATCGGAATCTCAAGTCGAGTCGGACCGGAATCGGAATCCATCGAAATCGAATCGAATCGAATCGGAGGAATCGGAATGAGCCCTGGCAGGACCCTCCTCCGCACTCCCTACAAGACTAATCCAAAACTACCTTTTAGCGCTCCGCGCGGACTTCTTGGATATCCGCGCGGAGTAGCAAAAGTTTATGTTTATAACGTTGTTCCTTCTTCGACTCCCTCATAGCGTCAAGCGTTTCGCGGCGCCGATCTTTCTCGTGGCGTTTAGCGACCTCCTCTTCCTATGCTTATGTTCTCTGCCTATGGCGCTGGTGTTGAGCGGACGGCAGTGCCCCCCACCGGCAAGGCGTCCGACCCTACCTTCAGAGTGGACAAAGCCCCGTCCGAGCTGCAGCACTGGAAGCTCCACCAAGCCGTCGAGGAAATATACGTGCGGGGCTGCGACCCGCAGGACCTCCTTGGCGTCCCCATCCCCGTCCTTACGTACATCCTGGGGTTCAGGAGAGCCGAGGTCGCAGACAAGCAGACCGCCGACAAGGTGCAGCTCGGCCACGACAGCGACACACAACTCTCCGCCGCCGCGCAGCGCCCACCCTCGGCACGGCCATCCACGACCCCGACACCTCCGACACCGCCCACCCCAACACCGAAGGGTACACTGCCATCAGCACGGACGATCTCGACGAGAGCGTCGGACCCGTCTTTCAGCGCGCCAGGTCCGTCCCGAGCCTCCTGCCAGGGTTGGGCGCCCGAGTTATCCGGGGTAACTCGGGTCCGGGGTAACTCGGGTTTGGATCCCCGAAGAAGGAACCCGAGTTATCCCTGACCCGAGTTACCCCTGATGATTCGGGGGCTCTGGACGCCCGAATTATCCGGGGTAACTCGGGTCCGGGGTAAGTCGGGTTCGGCTTCCCGAAAAACGAACCCGAGTTAGCCCTGACCCGAGTTACCCCTGATGATTCGGGGCTCTGACAGGGGCTCACAAGCGGAGGGGGGCCTCTGCTGGAAGGAGCGCGGAGAGCACGCGCCCTCGCGGGCAGCGCCGGGCGGCCGGGAGAGAGGCGCGAGCGCTGCGAGGCCCAGGGCTCGAGCTCTCAAGGGTGCAGCTCGGCATCGTTTTGCGGTCGTCTTCCCTGGTGTTCTGCCTCCGTCCCGCCTCTCTGCTGCAGAACGAGAGCAAAACGAGAACGGTCCACGAGATCGCCCAGACTCCGACAAGCATTAGGTCGGGCATGAACATCCTGCAGGCAGATGATGAAACATAGTAAACAAAAGTACTCACAAATAGTCAAAACATAATCGAACAGTCGTCCCAAAACTATGTTTGGACTATTTTCGAATATCCCCCTGTAGAAGGACATACCCGGCTTAAGGTTAGCTCGAACCCTGGCGATGTCAGCCGCGCTTCTCTTCGCTGCACCGACGTTGCAGACGTGCTGCAGCGGATTTCCGCATGTATCCTGCCAAAAGACGAAGCGAATTTCAGAGGATGTGTTGTAGTCTCCACTCCAGGCAAATAACAAAGTCCGCACGAAACTCAGCTCGAAATCTGGAGCGAAATTCCCTTCAGGACAAAATCCGCGCCTATCCCACTGTTGTCCGAGCGAACTCCGCTCTGCGATGTGGGCGCCACGACGTGTGTAGAGGGAGATACCCGACGTAGGTGTCGCTCCTCCTCCTCCCCCGCCGCCTCCTCCTCCCTCGCCCTCCCCCTCCAATCATGATAGAACGGTCGTCCCCAGGCTATTTTTGTCAATTAATGTTGTATTCCTCCTGCGGAAGCACATGCCCGACCCAACCGTGGCCTGCCTCGGATGCTCCTCGGAGGTCTCCGGGAGAGCCTTCTCAGAGGCTTCGGGTGGCCTGCGGCGGCCTGCGGGGGGGGCTCCGACGGTCTTCGGAGGCTCCCCGCGGTCTCTCCCGAGGCTCCGCGGAGGCCTCCCAAGCAGAGCTGCGGCCGTCAGGTGCTCGCAGTTCCGTGGAGCCCCTAGCGGGTTCTCTCCCCGCCCTTTCATCATCATCATCCTCCTCCTCATCATCATCATCATCATCATCATCAGCAGCAGCAGCAGCATCAGCATCGCCATCATCATCAGCATCAGCATCATCATCTGCAGCATCAGCATCATCACCATAATCAGTATAATCATCCGCATCACCATCAGCATCATCATCAACATCATCATCACCATCAACAGCATCATCACCATCATCATAATCACCATCAACAGCATCATCACCATCATCACCATCATCATCAACATCATCAACATCATCATCATCATCATCATCATCATCATCACCATCATCATTATTATACGGAGCGAGAGGTCAGCACAATATGCTGAAGGGGCCCAGGGACACACAAATAAATAGACACAGATCCCAGGTGACCCTATAGTTTCCCATATCTTTCCTGGCTGTTCGTCCTTTCCCCCCCGCTTCCCATATTTTCCTATGTTGTCCTGGGAGTCGACGACGAATTCGAATTTTGTCTGTGTGATTTTCCCCTTCTGAAAATATGCTGGCACAGGCGCGGGCGCGCGCTTGCTTGAGCCACGATGTGGCAGCGGCGGGCGCGCACGGGCCCTCTTCGAAGGAGGAGGAGGGGACGAGGGATGAGGGGGCGAGGCAGGGAGGGGCAGGGAGGAGGGAGGGAGGGCGGGAGGAGGAAGGAGGGAGGAGGAAGAGAAGGAGGAAGAGGAAGAGGACGAGGAAGAGGAAGAGGAGGAGGAGGAGGAGGAGGAGGGGAGGAGGGGAGAGGGAGCAGCAGGGGCGAGGGAGGGAGGAGCAGAAGAGGGAGGGAGGGAGGGACGAGGGAGAGGAGGAGGGGATGAGGGAGCAGGGGCGAGGGAGGAGGGCACAGGAGGAGGGCTGGGGGAGGAGAGAGGAAAAACGGAGGGGGGAGGGGGCGCGGCACTGGCGGGGGGGGCCTAGCAGCTGCCCGGCGGGCGGCGCGGGAGCCGCGTCGGCGGCGGCGCTGGCCTCCTCTGCGGTGGCGCGGCCCGCTGGTCAGTCGGTGCGTCGGTGCGTCGGTGCGTCGGTGCGTCGGTGAGTCGGCTGTGCTTTATTTGTTCTATGTTTGTTTGCTTTTTGTGTTTTTTTCGGTCGGTCGGCTGTCGCGTGCTGCCACCGCCCTCGCCGCCGCCCCCGCCGTCGTCCGTCCGTCGTTATCAGCGCACGTTGTCCGTCGGCCGTCGTCGTCGCCAGCCGCGCGCCCGCCCGTCGGTCCAGCCGTCGACGTCGGGGGGCGAAGGGGGGCGGAACGGGGCGCAGGGAGGGCACAGGAGGTTCGAGGCTCGAGAGTCGCGGTCTGAAGTAAGTTCCTCATGGGAAACACAGAGACATACTAGTACTATATGTCCTCCTTGGATGCGAGCGTCCGACCCGAACATATAGTATACCCGTCTTGTAGTATATCGTTTCCCGAGCGGTGTGGCCAGAAAGCGCACGCCACGACGCATATACTATAAGATTTCTCGGTGCGCGCGCCGCCCCTGGGGGGGCGACGCGCATATAGTATAAGTATGTTGGGTGTGCGGAGGCCCCTGGAGGCCTCCAGGGGGCCTCCGGGACCCTCGGGACACCCGGAAAGACCTCGGGCGCGGAGGCGGAGGCGTGGCGGGTGCTGCGATGTTCCAACTTACGTGAGCCTCGAATGCCAGAAAGAATGTCGAGCACCTTGAAACTTGAAGCAGGAGGAGGAGGAGGAGGAGGAGGAGGAGGAGGAGGGGGAGGAGGAGGAGGAGGAGGAGGAGGAGAATGTCGAGCACCTAGCACCTAGAGCTAATGTCGAGAATGCCTTACGTGAGCCTTGACTGTCGAGCACCTAGAAACTACCGAAACTGCAGGGTCTTCCCGTGCCGGGCCCCGGGAGGCGATGCTCGTCCGACACTTCGCGCCTCCGCCTCCGCCTCCTCCGCCTCCTCCGCCTCCTCCGCCTCCTCCGCCTCCTCCGCCTCCTCCCCCGCCTCCTCCGCCTCCTCCTCCTCCTCCTCCTCCTCCTCTCGCCTCCTCCGCCTCCGCCGCCTCCTCCTCCGCCTCCGCCGCCTCCTCCCTCCTCCTCCTCCCACCTCCCTCCTCCCTCCTCCCTCCTCCTCTCCCTCCTGCCTCCTCCCTCCTCATTCCTCCCTCCTCATTCCTCCCTCCTCCCCTCCCTCCTCCCTCCCTCCCCTCCTCCCCCTCCTCCTCCTCCTCGCTCCTCCTCTCTCCCTCCCTCCTCCTCTCCTCCGCCCTCCTCCCTCCCTCCCTCCCTCTCTCCCTCCTCCCTCCTCCCTCCTCCCTCCTCCCTCCTCCCTCCTCCTCTCCTCCGACGCCGCAGCTTGTTCGTGCCGTCGGCCCCTAGGGATCCCAGCCCACATCCCATGGGGCCGGCCCTCCTTTCGCTGGGGAGGGCGGCGGTCGAGACGAGCTCTCGGGGTGAGAGCCTCCGGCAAGACGCCGCGCAGGCTGCTGCAACGCCGAGTCCGACCTTCCATGAGACCGGCGTTCTCTCCTGAGTCGTTCCAGACGGAGGGAGAGAAAGAGAGAAAGAGAGAAGAGCAGAGAGAGAGAGAGAGACAGACCAACGTCCGCGCGGATGTATTGGACTTGCGCTGGGCCCCCCTCCCTGGCGCGCGGAGCGCGCCAGGGGCGACGCCATATGCGCCGCTAAGTGGGCCCCAGCGCGGATCCGAGAAATCCGCGCGGAGCGCCGAAAGTTTATGCTTACGTGTTTTTCCCTTCTTCGAGACGAAGAAGAAACGGCATCCAGACCGTAAACGACGAAAAGCTGGCGGTCGCGACGTTTGCTCGACGCCCGGGACCGAGAGGGTCCCAACTACGCGCGTGCGGCGGCGCGGCGGCGGCGGGCGGGCGGCTGTCCCGCAGCGCCGCCCCGGGCTCCAGCAGCGGCATCGGCGCCGGGGCCGAGGCGGGGGCCGGGACGGCGCCCTGGCCGAAGATGTCGCCCTCGGGAGCGGTGGTGAGCGTTGTCTTATTCGACGTTCCGACATTGGGCGGAAGGTGGGGGGAGGGGGGGGTCTGGCTCTGGACCTCTGCTTCGTGCGGCTGTTGGCAGTAGTGCGTCCTGTGGGGAAGGGGCTCCACCTGCCTGCTGAGACAGGCGCCAGAAAAAGCCAAGATCTACCCCATGGGGGGCTGGAGGGGGGGGGCGAGGGCCCGCGCCGATCGGCAAAACAATGAATAAAGAACGACCACGTGGAGCGGCGGCGACAGCAACTGATTGACGATTAGAAACGGGTCTCGCGCGAGATTCGATGATCCTCACGGCGTGTGTCAGCGCCAACGTGTGCCTGTCCACCGAGGCCCTTCTATACGACGCAGGCTGATGGGCCTGTTTTCCACCATCGCCACCATAAGTTGGAGGGGGAGGGGGTCCTCCTCCTCCTCCTCCTCCTCCTCCTCCTCCTAATCCTCCTCCTCCTCCTCCTAATCCTCCTCCTCCTGCCCCCCTCCAACTTTTGGTGGTCGTGGTGGAAAGCAGGCCCGTCACAGGCGATGCCATGATCTGCGGGCGTGGCTGAACGGGGTACAGTCGGGGCGTTGACCTAAGGAACCCTAAATAAGGAAGAAGGCCCCTGTTTTCCATAAGTTGAACTTCGATTTCCGATCGAAAACATGAGGAAAACCAGAACTTTGAAACAATCAAGGAACACGGAGCCCCTCCCCAACCAAAAGGGTTCCTTCTTCAGGGCCCCGACTGTACACCCTGCGAAATGCTTTAGAAATCATAGGTTAAGAAATTCATAGTCTCAGAACTTGAATAAAAACCCAAAATGTCCATTCAAATCTTAAGATTTACATTGAAACGTTAAGAATAATCGAGACTCTGGCCGAAAACTTAGGTTTTCTTAAGCATCGCCTAAGGTGTACACACACATTGGGCTAGCACACGTCCTGAGGATCATCGGGCGATGGCGTGGCGACCTTACGCCGTGGCTCACGCGGGCCGCCAGCGCCGGCACGCTGCATCGGAGACAAGGGCGCTTATGCGCGCCCTTTACGCGGGCAGCTTACGCGCCAATGCCGGCGCAGACGGCCAAGTTGCTCGCGTCGCTCAACTGAACAGGGAAATTATCCGAACAACAAAAAAAACTCAAAACATACCCCCCAAATAATCCAACAGATGTTCAGTAAAAAGTCCCCTGATTTTGTTCTGGACAATGTTTGAATACTCCTGCTGTAGAGGGGCACGCCGGACTTCATACTAGGGCAACTGTCATCGCGCTCCGCGTTCCGCGAAGCGCGACTACCCTCGCGCTCTCGCGCCGCCCTTCCCCGCCCCCCCCGGAGCCAGACGAGGGACTCGCGCGTCTCGCTCAAAAAAACGCCCAGACCGCGAAGCGCGAAGCGCGACTAACTTCGCACCCTCGTGGTCGATCAATCAAGGCGCCGACTCGATCCTTCCCTCTCCACGGCCAGTCGCTAAGACGCCCAGACCGCGAAGCGCGAAGCGCAACTAACTTCGCACCCTCGTGGTCGATCAATCAAGGCGCCGACTCGATCCTTCCCTCTCCACGGCCAGTGGCTCACGCAGCGAAACTTCAAATAAGATGGAATGCTGTGGAAAACAGTGCCGGCCGGATCAAATATAAACCCAACCAGCACCCTGCAGGATCGGCGTGCAGTGTTCCTGGAGGCCCTACCGTGCATATGCATGCAGCTGTCCAGGCACACCCTCATGATGGCCCCAGTTCTAGCCTGGCCGAGCTCCGCTGGCCGAGTGCGGCCGAGCAGAGTGAGTGGCCGAGCCTTTTTGCTTCCCTCGTCGCGGCGACCGCGGGGATATATCTATATATATGCATGAATATATATATATATATATATATATATATATATATATATACAGATTCATCTATATGTATATGTGCATATACTAGTATACTAGAACCACGCGCGCGCTACGCGCGCGCTTAGGTTCTAGTCACGGCTGCCCCACGCTTGGCGGATCTCGGGGGCTCGAGGAGGGAAAGGAGGAGGAGGAGGAGGAGGTGAGCAGGAGAGGGAAGAGGATAATGTGAAGAAGAAGAAGAAGAACAGACCCGAAGGGGAGTGCACAGGAAAAGGAGGAGGTGAGGAGGAGGAAAAGGAGGAAGAGGAGGAGGACGAGGAGGAGGAAAAGGAGGAGGAGGAAAGAGAGGAACAGGAGGAAAAGTAGGAGGAGGAGGTGAGCAGGAGGAGCAGGATCAGCAGGAGGAGCATCAGCATCTGGAGGAGGAAGTGGAGACCAGAATAAACCTGGGAAGCACGGACGATGCTGTAGCACCCCCCCCGTCCCGTGCCCGCTCCTCACGAGTCCAGTCGAGCATTCCTTTCCAGAACCAGACGCTTCCCTTTGGAAGATGAGTGCCCCATGGGCCGTGGCGAACTTGAACAACGTGGACATGTGTGACTTCCCTGTTCTGCAAGTGTCCATCGGGCCTCCTCTTGGTTTGTGTTGAGACTCTTCGGCTCTTCGGAGCCCCTTGGGACCTCTTGGCGGTTTCTTGGGAGGCGTCTTGGGAGCCTCTTGGTTCCACCTGGGGGGCTCTTGGAGCGAAGATCTCGTGCTACCCTGTAGCGTTCCCCGTCTCGGGCCGCTGTCGGGGTGCGTCCGGGGCCCCTACTGGGGCCGTTCCAGGTGCTGGGGGCCATCCACAGGCCTCCGAAGCCCATCAGCATGGGGCAGGCGAGTCCGTCGATCGTTCACGGTCATTTTCCCGTCCCGCATTGGGAGCCTCTTGGGGCGTCTTAAAAGCATCTTGGGGCCACCTGGGGGGCTCTTGGAGCGAAGATCTCGTGCTCTCCTGTAGCCCTTCCCGGGCCGCCGTCGGGGCGCGTCTGGGGCCCCCAATGGGGCCGTTCCGGGTGTTGGGGGCCATCCACAGGCCTCCGAAGCCCGTCGGCATACGGCAGAGGGAAACAATTACTGAACACTCCCCCTCCCCCAAAACTCAATGTTGGCACGCGCGGGGGACACTGCGGCCGAAGTGCATCTCATCAGACCCACCGCCAACTTTGAACATTGGGGGGGGATGGGGAGGCGTTGACGGATGAGTGTGGCATGAGTCTTGGCTAATTTGTTTCGAGGCCTATAGGGAAGGCGAGTTCGTCAATCGTTTACGGTGTCCCACAAATGTTGCTGACTAATTTAAGCTCTCGGTGCCATGTGGGAAACTTCTGGGGGCCTCTTCTGGACCTCTGGGAGTCGCTCGGGGGCGTCGTGGAAGCGTCTTGGGGACCCTTGGGCCCATCTTCGGGCCAGCTTGGACCACCTTGGCGGCCTCTTGCGCTGTCTGCAGGCCATCCCGGGTTGTTTTGGAGCCGCCTTGGGAAGCTCTGGAGCGCTCTTGAAGCTGTCCTGAAGGCGTCTGGGGCTCTCCATGGAAGTATCTGGACAGTTCGCTCGGATCTCGGGAGGTCTCCCCGGGGCCTCCTGGAAGCAGTTCTGGGGCCTCTCGGGGCCCGTTTCGGTGCCTGTCGGGGGCCGTTTTGGGGCCTCTCGGGCCAAGGAGGCTTCTCGGGGGCCTCTTGGGGGCATCTTGGGAGCCTCTTGGGGCCTCTTGGGGGCCTCTTGGGGGCCTCTGGGGGCCTCCTGGGGGCTTCTTGAGGCCGCGGGCCCGAAAAATCTGCTCGGATCCCCCGTCTGGGCCACTTCTTGGAGCCGTCTTGGGGCCCTCTTGGGACGGGCCGTCTTGGAAGAATCTTGGGCCGTCTTGTGGCGATCTTGGGGGCCCCTTGGGCCGTCTTGGAGCTTCGGGAAGCGGAAAGGCGAGAACCAAAAACCGTGTAAAAATCACTGGAAACACCAGCAACATTGGCGTTCTCTTGGGCCGTCTTGGGACCATCTTGGGTGTCTTGGAGCGATCTTTGGCCGTCTCGGGTCCCTCTTGGACCATCTTGGGGGCCTCCTGGGGTCGTCTCGCAGGCCTCTTGGGCCGTCTCGAGGCCCCTGGAAGTCCCGGGGAAGGGGGTACGAAAAGGTGCCCACAAATGGTTGCGGAGTGGCCGCACACCGGGTAAGGGGGGGGCGTCTATTGTAAGGTCGAGCATGTCCCCTACAGGCGGATTTTGGACGAAACATGAAAAGTGGCAAAAACATTCCAATAACAATCAAAAGTAGTCCAGAAAATCCTCCCCAGGTTATTATTTATCATGTCTGAACCTTCCTCCTGTAGAGGGACATGTCCGACTTCAGTTAAAGTCTGGCCTGTCCCTCTACAGGGGGAATATTCAAAAGTAGCAAAAGAAATATACAGGGACGATGTCTTGACTATGTTCGACAATGTTTGGAATATGTTTCGGGTATTCTTTATTTGCCGTCCAAATTCGGCCTATAGGGGGAAAATGCCCGACCTAAACTTAAAACTATCTTTATGTTGCTCCCGTCGTTCTTAAGGACCACATCCCAGAAATGAGTTCGAGCGCCCGGAAGGTGTCGAAACAGTGTCGCAACCGTGTCGGACGAGTGTCTCCCAGGGCCCGACACGTGAAAACCACTGAGTTTCCGCACTTCTTTGGGGGGCTCGACATTCTTTCTCGTGATCAGGTCTAAAGTAGGCTGGAACATCATAAGTCTATCTATCCGTACACTGCATCGGGGGGGAGGGAGTCGAGCAGACGGGTCGCGCGGGGCGGCCGGCGGTCCCCGGTCGTCGGGGGTCGGGAAGCCAGGAGGGCGGTGGACGGAGCGAGGAGGGGGGAGGAGGATCGAGGAGGAAGGGGCGTCGATGAGGCGGATCGAGGAGGCGGAAGGAACGAACGCCTCCTCAAGACCGGGAGCAGGAGGAGGCGGAGGACGATCGAGGAGGAGGAAGAGGTGTCGAGGATGATGTTGCTCCCATCGTACTTAGGGAGAACATCCCAGAAACAATTTCGAGCACCCAGAAAGGTATCGAAACGGTGTCGAACGAGTATCGCCTCCCAGGGCCATACACGCGAAAACCCTCCAGTTTGGGTAATTCCTTGGTTCTCGAAATTATTTTGGGTGATCATGGCTAAAGTAGGTTGGGACATCGTAAATCGAGGAGGAGGATCGAGGAGGAGGAAGGGAAGAAGGCCTCCTCAAGACCGAGAGCAGGAGGAGGCGGAGGACGATCGAGGAGGAGGATCGCTGATCGCTGATCGATGCCTTCTCCTCCGCCTCGTCCCTCTCCTCCTCATCGTCCTCCTCCTCCTCATCATCATCATCATCATCATCATCATCCTCATCCTCTTCTCCCTCTCCCTCCTCCTCCTCCTCCTCCTCCTCCTCCTCCTCATCCTCCTCCTTCTCTTCTCCTCCTCCTCGTCCTCCTCCTCCTCCTCCTGCTCCTACGTCTTGTCCTCCTCTTCATCCTCCACTCTATACTCCTCCGCGTGTTCCTCCTCCTCTTCCTCGTCCTCCTCGTCCTCCTCCTCCTCACCTCCCCCTCCTCCTGCCTCTCCACATCCCTCTACGTAGATCTGTGTATACGATAGGTGAGTATACACATAGATGTAATATAGAAAAGCCACTCCCCAAGAGTTACCCAACGGCCTTTCACAACGGCTCGAGGAGCACATGTTCCAATAGCTTGGCAAGACTTCGGCCCGACGCTTGGCCACAGATGCGTTCTCGAAAGGCGATGGGCGGTGGTGGTTCGCCATAGGCGTCTGCGATATGCTCCACTAGCCGAGAATCGTGTCTGAAAGGGCCTGTGGGATACGCGAAGCATCGGTCACTACCCTGATTCACTGGCACGTCCCTGAGACGTTCAGGCGAGAGCAACTTCAGCGGCACACGAGCTGCAATAACTGGAAAGGGATGGGCCATACGAAACAAGGATTCAAGGAGAGCTTTGATGAAAGAAACGCATCCTTGCCTGAATTGGGTTGGCATTCTTTACTCGTGAAGCCGTCACCTTATACTCCCTTGCCCATTGCCCCTTGCCCCTTGAGGACTAGCACCTTCACCACTTGCGCTTCACCCCACCTGACTCCCAGCGTCCCTTCATCATTCCATCCTTCCTTCCTCCTCCCTCCTCCCCCGTTGCTCGTCTACTGTCCCACGCCCCTCCCTCCCTGCATAAACCCTCCCCCTGCATCCCCTCCTCCCTCGAAATTCCCATCTCTTCCTCCTCCTGGTCCTCCTTCTCCTCCTCCTCCTCCTCCTTCTCCTCCTCCTCCTCCTCCTCCTCCTCCTCCTCCTCCTCCTCGTCTCCCTCCTCCATCCGTCCTCCATCCGCCATCCTCTCTCATCCTCCCCGTGCGCATTGTCCTCCTCCTGATTCGTCCTCATCCCCCTCCCCCATCCTGCCCTCACCACTCCCCCGACGGCCTCACCCCCCTCCCATTCCCCGTCGCCCCCGGAGGAGGAGGAGGAGGCGGAGGAGGAGGAGGGGGAGGAGGAGGAGGAGGATGAGGAGGAGGAGGAGAAGGAGGAGGAGGAGGAGGAGGAGGAAGACGAAGAGGAAGAAGAAGAGGAGGAGGAGGAGGAGGAGGAGGGAGGAGAGAGGAGGGAGGAGGGAGGCCCCCCCCTCCCCCCACCGCGGCACCGCCACGACGGCGGCGGCGGCGGCGGCGGCGAGGGGACGCCACCGACAACGACAGGGGCGGCGACGGCGCCGACGACGACGCCCGCTGGCCGCTGGGCCGCCTCCAACACACGCCTGGCGTCGTCGAGGGCCCCCTCGGCGGGCCGGGCGGCAGGGCGGCCGAAGGCAGCGGGGAAGAGAGCGAAGGCCTGTCGGTCCGTCGCCTCGGCCGGCGTCCTCCTTCTCCTCCTCCTCCTCCCTCCTCCTCCCCCTCCTCCTCCTCCTCCTCCTCCTCCTCCTCCTCCTCCTCCTCCTGCTCCTGCTCCTCCTCCTCCTC